TGTTTTGAGCATTTTGATGAACCTCCATACTGCTTTCCACAATGGTTGAACTAATTTACATTCCCACCAGCAGTGTAGGAGGGTTCCCCTTTCTCCACAGCCTCGCCAACATTTGTTGTTGTTTGTCTTTTGGATGGCAGCTATCCTTACTGGTGTGAGGTGATACCTCATTGTAGTTTTAATTTGCATTTCTCTGATAATTAGCGATGTGGAGCATCTTTTCATGTGTCTGTTGGCCATCTGTATTTCTTTTTTAGAGAACTGTCTGTTCAGTTCCTCTGCCCATTTTTTAATTGGGTTATTTGTTTTTTGTTTGTTGAGGCGTGTGAGCTCTTTATATATTCTGGATGGATAGTTTTTGACAAAAGATTCAACATAGTCAAAGACTAAGGAAAACGGAAAAGAATGCTTTGCAAAAGATGTCCCAAAAGAAGGATCTGGCCATTGGGTATCAGGATCAAGGAAAAAGAAGCATCCATCTTCAAATTTTATTTAATGGTCATTTTTATTTTATTAAATTAACATCTTTTAAATAATTATCTTAAAAAGAGGATTTTACTCTAGTTGAATATCACAGCCCAACAAAATCAAGTTTCAGATCAAAACTGTTCATGCATAAGTATAAATAATTCTTCCTCGTAAATAGCCAGGAGGCAGGCTTACAATAAATAGCCTTCTCTAATTGATTAGTAAATTTGTTTTCCAGAAGCAATGCGGTTTGCCCGGGATCACTGGAAAGATGAATGAAAAATAAGAAGTAGAGTATACAGTTTGATTTGTTCTGCTATGTCATCAGCTTTTGTATATGACATCACCCAATAATCACTCTGTTATTAGGTCTGACAGGAAATCCAACCCACAGCTGAAAATTTGCAGTTCTGCCTCTAAGATTCCAATGTTGCATGAAAACAGTGGCTCAGATAGTACTAGCTTTGCCCAGGAACAACTCTTGTGATGGACACAGCAAACACATGACCTCAGTGAGCAGCACCTAAAGGTCATCTATTAGGTCTGACCATCTGGGTGGTGAGTGGTTCTCTTTTCCCTGTGGCTGGTGCCAAAGGCCTCTGGGATGAAATCCTTGGCAGAGTCTGAGATGCTCTAATGGGAGGTCTGTCATGAAAGAGATGGTGGCCCTTAGGAGGCAAGGTAACCGTACAGAACCACATGAGGGAGAAGCAGGGCAGATGGCTAGGGGACAGGTCTCTGTGCAAAGGTTCCTCGTAAGAGGTTCTGGGCTGCTCCACCCTGTGACTTTAGCCCAGGATTTACTCACTGCTACCAGCTACTGTCCACTGGGGAGGAATGGGAGAGGCGCTCCTCTTCCTTTCTCCAAATGTTCCTGGGAGTAACCTGAGGCTAATAGAGGGGACGCAGAATTCCCGGCCAACTCTCAGTTTGGGTTTTTGCCCAATGTCTTCCTTCTACCTTTAGACCTGAGAATGGTCATTCTTGAGCTACTTGAATGTTGACTTGTCTTTTTTTTTTTTTTTTA